GCGATCAAAACTAACATGATATTCGTGATCAGCACCCCGAAAACCCCATAGCAGCCACGCTTTACGACTTTCTAACAGGTCCCGATTTCCCCGACTTTTGGGTCATTGACCTGACCTGGAAAGTCAACCGATGACCTAGAACCTTAAAATTGGGTATCATCGACTTCCTCTCGTCACGGCCAACACGCTCGTTTTTTCCGCGAAGCTCTAGCTCGATCAGGGGCGAAACGGCAAGGGGGGGGGGGTCCAACGGACACTTATACGTTTGAGGCTGGAAAAACACCAATACGGGCGAGAGCTAAGGTGTTAACCTCGGGTCAAGGTCAGGTCACAGCCCGTCAGGTCATGAAGCTGGTCAAAGGAGGTCATGTTGCATATCAATCGATTCGGCAGGTCTTTTCATGTCCATTAGTGGCTTTATCGACTCGGTAGCTTTAGTTGATCGGGAGTTATTGACGAAAAACTGATAGCCTTAGTTACGTGATAAATGACGTCACGCAAGATCAACAAAGCAAAATTGAAGCATCAGACCTTGCAAGGAGCGCATGAAATCACGATTCCGTGTGCTTGATAATTTGAGATAGTTGTATTTAATTTAGGACCAAACTAGCAATTTCCATATTCCCCTGACTTTTAATGGTGAGAGACTGACCTGATCTCAGGCGACCCTTCAGAAAATCCTAGATATGCATTTATACAAGTTGTGAGACCTCTCGATCATACTATAAGATCCTGTAAGTTTCATCTCCCTATGAAAGCTCTGCACTGAGGGTGTTGCGAAGTTGGAACATTTTAGCACAGTCCTAAAATGTTCATTTTAGGACAGTTTAGGACAGTTTCACACAGTTCATATTAGGACTGCTCATTTATGACGTCATAGATCAGTGACCTGACTTGACTTAAAAATGCGGTTGGCGTAAAAAAATCCGACTTATCAAATCCCGACTAAAAAAATCGACTTATAATCCGGTTAATCAAATCCCGACCATGCTTTTACCTGGCCATTAATGTTCTAGCCTTACAGGTGATTGTTTGAACGCGAAAGATGCTGAATCTTGGTTAACCCCATACTTATCGTACGATAAAGAACGTCAGTGTTAGACAGTTAATTAACAATTTTATTTAGGATAGTTTAATTCAAGTGGGTATAATCCGACTTGACAATTTACTAGGAGGGTTTTGCAGCGCTATTAGTTCGGCATTTAATTATAAATCATTGCTAATTTCGATCCGGATATCGTTATTCAATGCTGGCCTTTGCGTCCTCAGAAAAGTTGTTTATAGTCATGAAGGCTTGCATTGACCCATAGGTACTTTCCATTTTTCAGCACCATTATTCGCCGTAGTTGACCAGATGTTTTTCTTCAGCTCTCCCCTGAATCCTTTGGCTTAGACCTGGCCTATCACTCGTGCATCGCAAGACGCACCTACCACACACAAGTTCATGATCCCCACGAACCCACATCAGCGTCCGTTCGCTTGGTGTGTGACCCCTTGACCTTTGGCCGCGACAACTGCCAGCTTGCCGGAGCACCCCTCCCTACACGCGCTGCCCCGCCCGCTCCCCTCCCTCCCCCTCCCCCCGGGGTCGTGTCACGAAGGTTCGGGCTTACGCTACTACCGGCCGCTGCGCAGCTGTCACCTAGCGCTTGGGAATGTGTGGTCTGGTGCGGATTCAGCCAACTACCGGCTCGCGACACCAGCGCCACGTAGTGGCGACGGTACATTCTTTTTAGACACACTGTACATCAGGAATACATGAGAGTTTGAACCAAACTTGATCATGGAGCGACTGCACATCACAAACGCAACACCACAGTTTGTTTTTCACTAGGACAGCGACCCCACCCCTCATGCCACTATTACTACTCCTTAACACACCAAATCCAGCCACCGAAAAAGTGTAACTACACTTTACTTCTATCAATACTACGATGTCGAAACCATTCATATAGCTCAAACACGCTTTATCCTCGAGCTTTGTGAGGTTTCCATTTATGTTCACAGACAGCACGGAAAGTGACTGAGTTTTATCCGCGTTACTTCAGAGACTGACGTTTTGGAAACTGTCGATCACGATATCGTCTACATACACCTTTCTGTCCCTATGATCGTAGCGCACGTTTTTACCTTGATTTTCTGGACGGTCCTTTTCCCTTTTCGCCACGCCTCGCAGCCGATCGAATTCTTTGCGGACAAGCGGATGAATATCCTTCTTCACGTAGATGGATCGGAAGGCGGCGCCACTCGTTTTGAGCCGGCGCGCACTGTCCAGCACATCTTTCCTGTCGTCGAGGTTTTTCAGAATGACTTTTATTGGCCGTCGGTAGGGTCGAGCGCCGCCTGTTGGCGGGCGCCTGTCTTGCTGCTGAGGCTGAGCTCCCAGTCTCACTACGCTCTTCACTTCTACGTTTTGCTGGCCGATGGTAGACAGCACCAGTTTCACCTTGTCGATGTCGGTGGTCGCCGCCTCCAGCTGCTCCTCCGGCACGCCTGTCATGATGACATTGGCCGCTCTCCGTTCAGAATCCATTGATTCCAGCATTCTTTGGTGATGAGACAGCGTTTCAGCCATCTTGTCTCTGTCCTTCTTAAGCTCCTGGATTTGCTTGTTGAGGGCTTCTTTCTCCTTGCCCCACTTTGTCAGCATATCATCCAGTTTTGCTTCAATTCTGCCCATTTGGACCACGCTGGGGCCGGCGGCTGTTTCCTCCGCCGGCTCATTGATGAGAGTCCGCAGAGCGAACTGCAGCTGGTCTTTATTAAGCTTGCGGAGTTCTGCCGGTGTCAGCCTCCGCACATCTTCACTGGTCGAGAGGTCCTTATCAGCCATGGTCGTCCAGTGGTGGCTGATGGGGACAGGTGGCGTCCTCTGCACCTGATGGTTTATATCGTCGCCGCCAGAGCGCTGACCTGTCAGCCGGTCCGACCCGCTCTCTAGCGGGGCGCTCAAACACTTCGACTGATGGGGCTACCAATAGATGGCTCCCTGATCGCCTCTTGTGCAGCCACGTCTGTGTGGCGGGCGATTCAAACAAAGCGAACACGGAGACAAAAGTGGCGCGGGAGCGCCGACTTCTATCGGTGCTCAAAATGAGCTTTGCAAGCACCTTTGGTGCAAAACTTCTTTCGGTGCTAAAAGCAGGCGTACTCACAGAGATATCTGCCACTGGTATGTGTCTGCTCCAAAGCTGAATACAGTGGATTAGACGAAAAACCACGGAGCTCACGAACACTCGACCGCCATGGCCGCGCATGCGCACCCTACAACCTACACAACCTATCACAACCTAACCTATCACATGACGATCCACAGCCTATTTTCATCTCATAAGTAGCAACACAGCTGCGAGCACTGTTCGAAGCTCATATACTCGTACACCCTGGAAGCTACGTAGACCAAGTCTGGAATCATTTGCAATTATTGTCATTATTTTTGTTACAAATAGAAGAACCAGACGGTTCCAGTAATTCCAGTCATTCAATAGGTTCCTCCAACGTCTTCACGGCACTGACAGCGCCTCGCTCAAGCGTAAATTCTGCGCTGCTGGCCGCTGGGGCGCCGTTGTGTCGGGAGTGGGACTACAGACTCTGCGGTCGGACTTTCCAGAGTCTCGATATACGGGGAGTCCCATATCCGTCCTCCACTGGAGTTTGTCCGTGTTCTGTGGTGTACATACCTGGGGGAGAGCCGTCACGCATACTGCTCAGCACAAAGTCTGGTGTCACCTGCTTGACAAACACCGTTGAATTCAGGGGCAGTCCACCGTTCCATGCTTCTATCCTCAGGAAACTGAAATCCTTCTCCTCCACGCCACAACCCCCCTCCGGGCTGGACAGGCAACCTTATCTCATGCGGGCTGCTCCCTTGGAGCGGCACCGCTGCTCCCGAGGGAGCGCACCCCGTAGCCGGGTGCAGTGAGTGCCTTGGGGCTCGGGGTGGCCTGTCTACGGACGGGCTCAGCCCCGGCGACTCACTAGGGTGCCTGCCCAGACCAATGTCTCCCCCAAATTCCTATCATCCTTCCGGCTCTGCAATGGTCTTGTCGACCGAAAGGGCCTAACCCAACAAAACAAACAAACAAACAGGGGCAGTCGTAGCGGACCTTTTACGCTAAGCATGACTTTCCATCAGGGCGCGGGATATCAGCACATAGCATTAGCTCTATGGAAAGTGGAAAAGTACCGGCCTGCTTTTTAGTTTCCACGCTCGCGAATGTAACTCCCTGTCCCAGAGCAACTCATGCGCTACTCATAAGACACTTTCCCTTCCTATCCGGCCGCTATTGGTGAGGCTAACATGAACTCGCCATGAGTCACCGAAACGAGATGAAATTCGGAAACTCAAGTATACCCTCAGCTGACCCCGTTCACCAGCGCACTTCATCACAAGTTTCGCCCCTTCTCTGATCATCAGACGCTCTCTCTCTCTCTCCCACCAACGTCCCCTCCCCTCCCCTGTCGCACCAGTCACCACCCGTCTCCAGACGCCAGGAGCCGGTCAGTGTCGACACTCGAGCGTTTCCAGAGTCACGTCGCCCGGTCAGCTGACTCACAGGGCGTCATCTGAGGTCAGCGCTGAGTCAGCCTGCTGACGTCAGCTGTCTCCAGCCGAGTTGGGGGGGGGGGGGGGGGGGTCCAGCGACGGGTGTCTGGTCGGGCGGAGTGGGTGAGGGGGGAGCAGAACGGCGCGTGCAGCCACCGACTCAGGACTTCACTCAGAACTCAACAGTCTGGTCAGTGCTGATCGGTAATGATACGGTTCGCACCAGGGTCAAGGAGGACGGCTGTACGATGCGAGTGAAGCACCGGGTAATATGGCAAAATGAACATTACGTAAGAGGAATGTTAGGGCAAATGCTCACCCCTCACAAGCGCAGCTCTTCAGGGTTGCGAGCAGTTTCTTGGGTTTGCACGGTGTCCCGAGCAAGAAACGTGTTCCCGAGCAAAAGTTAATTACATGAGGTCTAAAAGTCCGGCTAACAACCACAAAACAACAATTTGGGAGGGCAGGTGTAACCACTCCACCCATTTTAAATAAGTTTATTGGTACGAAGAATCCATGGAAATATCAAAACATCCTTAGTTTCATTGCAGTTGTGACGCATGCTCCTCCTATGACCAAAATAATCCAGCCACAGCTACTAAGTATAATCAATACACGATTCGCCCCGATCACTGGCGACCACTGTCTCTGCGCTCCCCGGGCGCGGCGCGGCGCGGCACGGCCCGGTCCGGGTCCCGGCCCGCCGCACTAGCACTCACTGGCGCACGCACACCGATACGGAGAGACGCCGATATATGGGTAGATAGAGGTCCGTCGGCGATGCGGAGACGACGTCGGCCGCGCCGGCCGCAGCTGGCTCCCGAGCCGCTTCGTTGGACGCCGCGCGGCCGCTACGAGCGTGATGCAGGCGCTAGGAGCGTCGCACGGCCGCTGCGAGTGCCGCACGAGCATTGCGAGCGTCGTGCCAGCGCTACGAGCGTTGCACGGGCGCTCCGAGCACCGCACGGGCGCTAGGAGCGTCGTGCAAGCGCTAGGAGCGTCATGCAAGCACTAGAGCGCTGCACGGCCGCTTCGAGCGTCGCGCAAGCGCTGAAGGCGTCGCATGACCGCTTCGAGCGTCGCAGGTCACCAGGAGCGCCGTGCAAGCACTGCAAGCGTCGCGCGATCGCCACTAGCACCGCACAAGCGCGAGCGTCGTGCAAGCGCTACAAGCGGTGCCCTCGCCGATCGCGACTCAGCAGGCCTCGCCTGGACACCGAATGCTTAGCGACAGACGCATTACAACAGACGACACCGGGGCTTCTTCTTCTTCTTGACCTGTCCGGGGAAACGAAGTGTCAGAATACTTTGCCGAAGGTGGGGAGTGAAGGACGTTAGTTTAGGAGGATGCCATATGTTGTAGGGAACGTCGCTGACATTCACTACTGAGAGGGTCATGGCCAACTGTTCGGAGAGATACAAGACGTGTGATTTGATATGACTTGTGATTTTAGAGCGCCCGGACTTCAGAGGTCATTGGCGCCCTGATACAGGGCCAGATACAGAGTGAGACATCTGGCAGTGCGCCAGCGCTGATCCACTGACGTCATTTATGATACTGCCGTAAACCAGCAGTGACGTTCAACAGAGATAAACTGACTGGGATCGCGGCTGGCTGTCGCGCCGAAAAACTCAGTTCACGGGGTGGAAACAATCCAGAGAATTGAAACTTACCTACTCGCTGATATTCAGGGGTGTGTTTGAGGAGGGGTGATAGTATGTTGGAAAGTTTACGCCATGTAGTGAAAATATACATCTTTCATACCAGTTAACCAAACGCGTGACCTGCCGACACGCCAGGACACATGCACCGAATTCGTAGACTACGTAAGCAGCGTGTGACGCTGAGATAAGAACTGAGTGTGAGCAATGAGCATATTTGAGGTCGTCAGTGCATCTGTAGTGTAAATGAATTTTGAAAGACAATTTTGCGGCATTAGATAACCTGATACTGTAAGTGCAGCATATCCTATTGTTTTCGCAGCAAGATGACAGATTCGGTGTTTTTAAGGCAGCTGTAGGCATGGGAGCATATCTATGGGTATTACGGAAGACCGACCAACGGACTTTTCGAGATATACCACAAATAACAGCAAATAACCCAAGCCAAATTTCACGATTCGCGTGACTCACGTTTTTCACGTCAACATGACACATTTTTGTCATTTCAGAACCAACCTTAGGAAGGCTGAAATCTAAGCCGATAACATGCATGCTTTACTCATATCTTATCGTAATCATGGGGATCTATATGAATATCACTGATGTCTCCCATTATTCTCAGTTTTCTTCACGCAGTACTATCATACCGGTCACCCACTTAAACTCCTAACTTAACCCCCCTCACTCCGTTACCCATTTACCCCCGACTCCCCTCCCCGCCCCAGCCCCGCTCCCGGCGCGCTCACCTGTAACGCGGCCCTGGTGGCCGTCTCAAACACCTCTCGCACGCCCTCCTTGCTCTTGGCCGAACACTCGAGGTAGGCGAACGCGTTGATCTTCTCGGCCATGGCGCGGCCCTCCTCGGGACGCACCGGCTCCTGTTTCATCTTGCTCAGCTCCTTCATCGTGTTCGGATCATTCCGCAGGTCCTGGTGGAGAGATGGCGTGTCAGCAAGGCGGGTGGAGACAACTTACTCAAAGTAAAAGAAACATCGAACAGTGAACACCACTAAGGGGCATGAAATATGCATGTACTTGTACAAAGAATGAAAATCTTAAGGAGAAAAATAACGTCGCTCAAGCAATACATAATACATATAATCATAAAAAGCAATCATTACAACTGAAACGACACATCATCAAGGCAACAAAACCAACAACAATTTCCATTCCCCCAGCCATTTTAACTTCAAATCAAATACATTTAACTCAATCACTCATTCCTTTGGTGCTAAAGATTCATTGAAGGACGTGAGTGGCGCACTATTGCCCACCTTTTTGTTTCCGACCAGAATGATGGGCACGTTGGGGCAGAAGTGTTTGACCTCGGGTGTCCACTTTTCGGGTATGTTCTCCAGCGAGTCGGGTGAGTCGATGGAGAAACACATCAGGATGACGTCCGTGTCCGGGTAGGAGAGAGGTCGCAGCCGGTCGTAGTCCTCCTGTCCGGCCGTGTCCCACAGCGCCAGCTCCACCTGGTGGCGACACGGAGAACTGGCGTCACACACCGAGAGGCCTCTGGCGGCGACCTCGCGAATCAACGCCACAGGACAGCAATACTTATGCTGATCGCCGGGAAATGAAACTATCGGTCGATTAGATCAGACAGTGGGACGACGAAATGCGAAACTCTACTCTATTGCGAACAAGTTATGAGTACTAATGCGAAAAGGTATCTTTTTTCAAAATCAAAACATTCCAACTCAAATAATCTTTCACACTGTGCATGTGCCGTTCACAGTAAAGTGCATGGAAATGTATTAGGTCGTTCAATAAGTAACGAACAATCGGTCATAACTTCTTTATTTCTTTATTTAACACTTTCAAACTTTCACAGATTATAGATCAGACATTTTTGAATGCAGCCTATGCCTCAAACCAGTCGCCGCCCGCCTGCACACACTTCTCCCAGCGTTCCGGCCAACGCCGGAATTCCGCCCGGAAAACATGTTTTCCGTCTTTTTCACCCAGTTCATGACAGCGCACCTGACTTCAGCGTCGGTCTCGAAGTGCTCACCATGGAGGCCATCCTTTAGGGGACCAAAGAGTTGAAAATCTGAAGGAGCCAGGTTCGGACTGTAGGGCGGCTGGGGCATGATATTCAGCCCTGTCACGCGATCTCCTCGCGCGTGGCGTGAGACAAGTGCGGTCGGGGGTTGTCATGGTGTATGGTGATGTTGTTGACATCCGAGGCGCGCCTCTTCTTCAGTATTGCTTTTCTCAGTCTCCTGCAGGACTGTGATGTAGCGGCCCGCTGTCCATAGTCCGCCCAGGTTCAAGAAAGCCCACCAGGATGACACCATGACAACGCTCGTCCGCACATGTCTCACGCCACACGCGAGGAGATCGCGTGACAGGGCTGAATATCATGCCCCAGCCGCCCTACAGTCCGAACCTGGCTCCTTCAGATTTTCACCTCTTTGGTCCCCTGAAGGATGGCCTCTGTGGTGAACACTTCGAGACCGACGCTAAAGTCAGGTGCGCTGTCAAGAACTGGGTGAAAAAGACGGAAAACGCGTTTTTCCGGGCGGAATTCAGGCGTTGGCCGGAACGCTAGGAGAAGTGTGTGCAGGCGGGCGGCGACTGGTTTGAGGCAAAGGCTACATTCAGAAACATTTGATCTATAATCTGTGAAAGTTTGAAAGTGTTAAATAAAGAAATAAAGAAGCTATGACCGATTGTTTGTTACTTATTGAACGACCTAATATATCAATTACCACACGATGACAGAAAAAATTCAGCTGACTGCAAAGATAACCCCCACGTCCTACCCGCCATCCCTCCCACAAGCTCGATGCCTGGAGATAAAGGCACGCGAAGCGGTACGCCCTCACCTGTTTGCTGTCGACCTCGATGTCGGCCACATAGTTTTCGAACACGGTCGGCACGTACACCTCGGGGAACTGGTCCTTGCTGAAGACGATCAACAGACACGTCTTTCCGCAGGCGCCGTCGCCGACGATAACTAGCTTCTTTCGTATCGCCGCCATGAATTCTGTCGACGGACAAATTCAGAGTTTCAGTTACGGTTTTATGTTTGAGTCCTGTGATATTTAGGACAGTGTAGGCCTGGAGGGTCGGTAGCGGGACATTGGCTGAGCGGGGACCGGTCGTCTTACACCGGTCCCGCCCGGCCGACCAAGACTCTCACACCGGCAAACGAACCGCTCTTCCGACACACAGACAGAGGCAGCGTCGGCCCAGCCATAAACAAATGGTGATAATTCGGGAGGGGTAGCAAAACAAACACGGCCGGGCGCCGAGAGAAGCGAGAACGATGGACAGCGGCCGGGACCCAGCTCGTCGTACGGGGATGACAGACGGGGGGGGGGGGGGCGAGGGGAGATGGGGAGATGAGGAGTAGATACAGGAGCACAGCATGGTGGCGGGCATTGCAGCCGGCCGATGGAGTGAGATTTTGACGGCTGGAATGTCTCATTAAATTTTCTTTTTCTGAAAATTTATAACCAGTAAAACGCCTTTTGGGGCGACTTTTTGCAAAACAGCTTGAACACCCTTGACTTTTCACGTGGCACGTGCCACGACGGTCACTGAGATGCATCAAAAGTAGTCAATTATGGGGTAAAAGGGATGGGGCTACCCAGCAAAAAAGATCGCAGGCCAATCGGTCTAGCGGTTGCTGAGATATAAGCGTCTCAAAAGCGTTACAGGCCAGGCTGCTGATACCGAGATTTTTCCATCATATTGAAAAGACTCGCTTCGCTCGCTGCGCTCGTAACAAGACAGTAGCTGTTCCTAATCCTACTGCAGCATGCATATGTAGGAAAGAAGTGTATAAGTGTACCACAATATACTAAAATTGCACTTTTGTTCGGGCTTCATGTGCAAATTCCTCACCAAATAAGGGATGAGAAACTAATCTTCAATCAGTCAGGGTATCAAAGATCAAACTACTAGAGTAATGATCAGAATAGTTTGTCAATGCCTACAGCCTACTGCAGGGTGCAGCATGCATTGCATATGTAGGAAAGAAGTGCATAAGAGCACCACATGAAGATACCTACTGAAACACTAATGTACCCACTGCATTATAACAGTATATAACCATGCATCAAACAAGAATAACAAAAGCTACAGTAGAGGGTAAACTCTGAGCATATACCACTTCACAATGCTCACAACGAATGGACTGAGGAGTGAGGTGTTCAGCCAGTGTCCCCAAATTGTATTTTAGTTTGACTATAAGGGGGAAGTTCCTCACCAAAAGGGGGATGAGAGTGAACTGTGAAGATTGTTGGTCAAATATGGCCAAAAAGAGAGGAAAACATTCTTAAGTAAAATTTTTATGCAATTGTGGTAGGTAGCATCTCATTCATGGTAGCATCTAGGATGTAAGACAAACATCCACACAATTATTTTGTGTGTGTGTGTGTAAACTGTAAAATTGCAAGTGGAAAATTGGTCTTGAAAAATGAAGATGAGAAATAAACATGATTTTCATTTGGTTGTTAATTCCTAACCAAATTAACAAATTTTGGAATAATGTGTTTAGCATTTCAAAATAGCTGAGTTGTACTGAACTCATGCCTTCAAAAACTACACATGAGTGAAAATATGAAATCCATGAAGGTGGTATTTGTTTGTAGAAAAGCAACTTGAGAAAGAACAACTACAATTGCAAGAGTGAAACTTTTCAAGCAATGGTCAGAGTAGTTTCTCAATGTTTTGATAGTGCCACACATGAAATTTCCAAGGATATGCATAATTACGAGGTTCTCACTTCTCATGTCGGTGCCTTAAATTCAGCTAACTGTGCTGAACTCCAATTACTGACAAGCTGATGCTCCCAATTAAACTTAGATATCCTTTGATCCTGGGTTCAGGCCTGATCCATGGCTACTGCCTTCCCTTCTGACTAATTGACTTGGTGAAACCAGTGTCCTTTGACTAAGGTACCTGCTGCTTTCCACTAGTGGATGCCTAGCAGATACTTGTGAGTAGATGAATATGATGGGCAAGTGAGCTATTACCTAGCTGATAGAGATTGCCTTCTGGTCATAATTGGCACTGATTTGACTGTTTGCCCAAATATGTTCGGTAACATTTTTGCAAACATTTTTTTCTGAGAGCTGGTTCCAGGAGTTTGCTATCCCCCAGAAAATTGTGTTCTCCTTCCAAATCCAGTGGTGTGGTTTTGTAAGTACCTAACAAATTATAAGATTGAGTTGACATGAAAAATATCAATATTAATGAAACATCTACACTGTCAGTGGAGACGGAGAGCAATGTTTGTGGAGCTGAGTGTCAGGTTCAAAGTCTAAGAATGGCATGATTTATAACAGATGAGCATACCGTGTGGGAAAATGGCGAGAGCAATGCTCAACTCAACAGGTACGGGTAATGCATCTTTGACAGTCTGTACCTACATTTAAAACAATCAAGCTTTATTTTAGGTCACAAATTTCTCGCCTTTAACAGGATATTTAAAATTCATGCCTGATAACTTTGTTAACAAATTGGGAAAATAGGGCATGGACTGGGAAAAGACAAGCGAGATCAACTGTTGATTTTGGACAAATGCCAGATACCTGTTGACAGCAAAATGAAAATAAGAATGAGCTCGATAGCAGTTACTTCAGTTTGAACTAAGGATCACACAAAGTTGGCACTGGTCATTCATCGAATTGCTCGGTTCAAAAATTCAAAATAAAAACGGAAGACACAAGCTATTGTGCTGAATGATTCATCGGTGACAAAGCCGACGCGCAACATTTTATCGGTTTCTTGAATTGTTAAGCAGCATCCAGTCAGTAGGACGACACCAGCATAATCCTAAGAATATTTTCCAGAAGTCCTCGGTCCCAGTTCTTGACCCTTACCTGAATGCTAAAGGAAATCCGGTAAAAGTGCACAAATCAATATGGCAACGGCCGCCTAAAAGCGACCACACCTCGGAAGTGTCCGACAGATGGCAGGAGAATCGCAGGATTCCCGCTGGAGAAGAGTCAACAAATTCCGCGGAAAGTGGAGCATGCTAGCAAATTTTAAATTCAAGAATCTCATGCTAAAACATAAAACTAAAACTTAAAGTTTTACTAAATTTGATTCGTAATCTACCGAACAGCTTCTAAATCATATCACCAATTTGCCTACCTTCCAATTACAATTCATGAAAATATACTTATTTTGTCATGTCCAAGGTGAATTGTAGATGCCTGAGATGAACTGGGAAAGACCGTACCATTGGTGGTTTGGTATGAGTCACGGAAAGAAGAAAGTGAGAGCTACGACAGGAGCGGCCACAGATTTAAAGTTATATTGACATGTTTGGATCATCAAGGCGAGTCAATCGATTGTATTTTGTCCAAAAAAGGTCAAGGTCACGTTTGGTTCAGGCCTGATCTCGGATGCTTTCTAATTATCTTGACCAGGGGTTCCGCTGCAGAGGGGGGGGGGAGGAGTCGTGAGGGTTCGGAATCCCCGATAATTTCACTTCCGTAGTGCCGCCCAGTGCATACCTACCTAGGGTGTGGATTTTTGGGTGGGAACCCGATCCTGAACTCGTCGTCGAGCCCCTGATCTTGACACAGTCACATTATTGGCGAAGCGTGATTCATAAGAAGACGCTTGGAAATTATTCTGAGGCCCAGGATACATTTGTCATCTACGCTGGTCGGATTTTATCTGGTGTCTTCCAACAAACGACACTACTAACTTAAGTACTAACCTGGGCCATCACCGCCGAAACATCGGTCCATCAGCGGTAGAGGTGGCAGCGGGATACGGATGTGAATCGCTCGCGGCTCCGCCATGGTCGGTGATCACCGCTGACAGGACGGATGGCCACTGAAACACCACGTCACTGGGGTCCGCAGCTGGAGCCGTGGAAGGCTCAGCAGTCAGACACGCAGCTATGCCCAGCCAGATGTCAGATGACAGTCGGGCGGATGTCGTGATGTTGATGCGATGATAGGTGAAAGGCCACTCATCAGCCGACAGAGGAGCCACTCTGGTTTTAGCGAACTAAACGGACACGGCCGCTGGTCGCATCCACCACTGCCACTTCTCTCCGAGTCCACACCAGCCGCCACCGGCGGGCAGGGATTATGACGCACGCGGCCGGTGAGCGGCCCTAATCCAATTGTCTGCTCTGCATTGTACTGCTTCCCAGTTCGATTCTCCCTCCGAACATATAGGTGGAACTTTTTTTACATATTAACGAGTGGTGCTCAACGTTTCACATTTGATGTAGGTGCTTGCTGGTCGCGAATTGCATTTAACTTGTAGACGGTTGCGAGAATGTTTTTGGAAAAATAGCTGTATCCCTTTTACCTAAGATTCTTATTTGAAATGTCTGCATCCCACAGGCATGTAAATGTTCGTGTACCTATGTAAAAAGTGTAATGTTTTGTTGCAAATATATCAATTCTACTAAATCGTCCACTATTTTTAACCTTCAAGAGTCATTATCGTCGGCAAGACAACGGCCCCCTCGACTCATTTGTGATGGTCGTCAAATATAATATACTAAATATCGTTTAGGTTGCAAGGTACATGTCTTAAAAGGTTAAATAGATCGGTAGGTATTTTGTTGTGAGGGTATTTTATGGGGACCAAATTTGTATCCAACACCAAAGCTGAATTCTCGACGGCAGACACCCCCTGACCTCCATCCAACGCCTCTGTCGGCGGGCCGGCGAAGCTTCAGTTGTCCGTGTCTCTGCCAGGCCAGGGAGGGCAGAGGGCACGGCATTGGTCCCGTTTGACATAGCATTTATTCATTTACCGAGCAGCGTGTTTTACATTTATAAGATACACTTCCCGCTGTAGGCCATGTAAGTACCTATATGTGGCAACGTGTTCGCTCGAGCACGTTTTCCCCAAGAGCAGTTCGTTTATCGTGTTAAGCGTATTTTAAATAACAAAATAAGATTAAAAACGGATACAGAGCTATTTGTGCCAGTGGCTAGTTTAATCCCTATCGCTACTATCCCAGCTTTCATGAATCGCATATTTCAGAGTCTTCATTTACATGGTGCTAAGCACATACGATAACGAACAAACACAGAAACGGTCACCACAATGACGTAGCATCATTATTCACGTCACTACGATATTTATGACAAACGGCAACAAAAGTGTGAACAGAGAAGAGTATATCGTCACCCCAAAGCAGCGACCGGCCGACGCCATGGCCCGTAGGAAGGCCTCCTCGCTCTTTCTCCGCTCTAACTCCTCCCTGTCTCTTACGGCACACTCCTCTGCCGACGGCAGGCTCACGCCACTGATATGTCTCTGTTGGAGCACTGGCGGCGTCAGACATCTATTCTGCTCCGAGAAGCGCGTCACATTATAGCCGGCACCACGGAGGGCAGTCATCAGCCGGTGTAGATCGCACGTGCACGGCAGCAAGTTATCCACAAGGACCAGTCTCTCCTCAGCGCATGGGGAGAGAGTAAGAACATCACTCAGAGCCACCGCGTGGACCCGGTTTCCTCGCATCTCTAGCCGTCCAACAGGACCGGTGATGTTCAGTCCACCCAGCTCTCCGATCGTGACGTTGGTGAAGCTGATCACCTGCACCGGTCCCACACCTTCCATCCAGTGGCGATCCATGACACCCACCTCCCCACCGATCACTGTCAGCCGCGCGGCCCGCTGGAGGCCGCTGAGTAGGCCAGCCGGCAGGTTCTCCAGCTGCGGCTGCCGCACCACCAGCACGTCCACATCCCGCAGGCCTGAGAAGGCTCCGGCGGCCACCCGCTGCAGTCGCTCCGGCAGCAGGAGGTGGTGCACTCTCTGGAGACCAGCGAAGGCCCGCGGTTCCAGCGCCGCCGCCGGGTTACCCCCGAGACTGATCAGCCTCACATCAGCTGAGGTACTGAATGCGAGTGGGCGGACACGCCGCACGCCGCTGTGACCCACGTAGAGGTAGGTGATGTTGCGCAGACCGCCCAGAGAGAATCCAGCCAGCTCGCCGAGAGGGTTTCCCTGCAGCGAGAGCCGCTCCAGCGATAGCAGGCCGAGGAAGGCGAACGGTGCCACCCGACGGATGCGGTTGTTGTCCAGGTCGAGGGTGCGCAGCTGGGGTAGTTTGATGAAGGCGGCGCGTCGCAGTCGACGGATTCTGTTCCCGGCCAGTGAGAGGTGCTGTACGGTGGCCGGCAGCCTCCGTGGTGGAGCGGTCAGTCCTGCGTCGATACAGAGGACCTGAGGAGACAGAGAACACCAGGCGTCAGCTTGGAGAGGACACCGGTTCCACCGAGCCTTCAAACGAACGTTTAACCGAATGTGTGATGATCAAACTTCCCATCGGTTAGATCATGCAATCAAGAGAACATATACGGCTAACCGTGAGTCTTGTTCAGCAACCGTACACTTTTATCAAATAATTGTATTTCGTAACATTTTCCGGCTTTGCTGGTTGCAACAATAAACGACATTTCTTCGAATGTTACATAATAAATGTACATGAAATGCTGCATATGCACAATCATTACGGTATCGGCCCGAATTCGCTACTAATGGCAGCGGATTCGCCGGACAGACATCCGGCGAATCCGCTGCCAGAGCAGCATATTTGGGCCGGCTGAATGTCTGACTGCCAACGGCAGATTCACGAATAGCAATGTCTAGACTAGACTAGAATAGAATATCTAGACGGTAGACCAACCTTATCTTATTCTTGACCCCTTGTAGCACACTGGGCGTGTTATTACGTTGCTGCGTTATGTAAGCTGTGCTATTTTACTATGACGTATTAGTATTCTCAGAAGTGTAAAAACTTAAATTTGCTTCGTGGATTCAAATGCTCATCCCATTGCTTATGTGCTCACAGTTAAATGAACGTGTACCTACATACACTGTAAGCAACGAGTGCACCAGTGCATCAGCATGAGGTTTTCACACGACCATCATAAGCGCCAAGCGGATTACGTGTAATGCGCAAATCCTCTTTTTGGAGGGCCTCGACAAACGCCTTGCCAGGGTAACGATGGGACTTCATGGCACTTACAGCGCAATTAACATTAATTACTGCCGCTCCACTGCCGGCATCTGTGTGCGTACTTAGGAGCAGTGCGGGTTAATTACGACCGCCGCCGGCCAAGTGTGGGTGCCGGGTTCGACGTGCTTGGTCGATGGGTGGGTTCGCTGGGTGGCTGGTGGGTGACTGACGGGTGCGTGCTCGGTCGGTGGGTGGTGGGTCCGGACCACAGACCAACTGCCGCAGTGTGGTCACGGGTACGGCCGCCGATGCCGACTTCGGTTACCATGTGGTCAGCCGGCCCGTGAGACGGCTCCCAGGGAACTAATGCCATGGTAAACCACGCCTTCTGTGCCTCAACTGGGGCAGACGGCATCGTGACGAGCTGACCGCTACAGACTTTATCAAAACATAAGAACACATGGCATGGAGCTTTGTCACCAGCACACTGAGCAGCTTCCCAATGCCCGTATAACAGATCTGTCCTTCAGAAAGCCAACGGGACCAACACGGTGATGGTGCTATTTTCACTCACACCTGTCCGACCTCTTCCCCAAGCTCGCACCACATACGAAAGGTACCTATATGGCTTCCTTACGTCGAACTGTGCGGCCGGTGTCATGGCTTCTCGACATCAATAATATAGCAGCAACCGTATGCGAGGGAAGCATATGCGTTTGTGTTGATATGCGTTAATTTCACTATATGATGTGAGCATGCCTGACACGAGTCAAGCTGTACGTTATGAAGTCGTGTGTGGGGTGTTTAGTCGTGTAATTTGTTGCAGTTTTGACCGGAGAGTATTTTGACGTTATTTATTAGTAGTGCTGTGTTCTCCGTCGAACTTACGATTGAGATGATTATCCAAAGAAGGGATCGAACCATGAGGGCACTAAAGAGTCGGACATGACTGTCACCAAAGTTCGTCATCGATCAGTCAAACGATCCATTTCCTCACTGCTGGGCACGGACACCCGAGGCGTCTTGCCTGCGTGTGTGTTGCATGCGCTGTAATTCAGAATGGACGCCCTCGCCCCGGCTCACCACCGTAGGTGTGACACTGATAAATCGCCCGAGGCGGTGCGTGCACGCCGTGCACGTGCAGCTCGCAGAAAAACGCAACGGCCGACCGTTAAATCCAGCGAGCGCAATCAATTTATTGACGACACAATTGATTTGGCACACGGTGACGCTGTAAAAACAGTTCCGACTGGGCCCACGCAGCTGTCAGATAATTTCGGGCCATTGTCTGCCGCTGGCTCCGTCGAAGTTCGCTTGGTGACGGAGTGGCAGGAGCTTACGCTTGGCGTCGGTAAAATTATGCAGCGTCATCGGAGCTGTCATTAAGTGGAAACAACGCCGGGCGTGCAATATTGACCTGCTGAGGAAGGGGTGTCGCGGCTGGTAGGATGGAAAGCGACACTACTTGGCACCAGTGTTCGCCACGGGCCCCAAAATCCCCAGCCCAGCCCGGCCCGGGCCCATGGGTTCAGAGCCCGGCCCAGCCCGTAGCCCGCTCTTGGCAAATATTCCAAGCCCAGCCCGGCCCGGCCCGTCAAAAATAGCAATCTAGTTATTGTCTTAGTCTATTGCTATAATAAGCATGATTGATTACACTATTTTGAGAACAATTCAAACTGCATGAATATTAACATGGCAATCATGACTCCCTTCTTTTCAATGAATATAATCATTTCAAGCACCTATGGCACAAATTTTAACAGTAACAGCAAGCACCTCAGTCAATTAGGTCATGATTACACACCTATAAAAAGTTTACATGATTATATTAACTACATTCTATGAGTAAAGTTATCTTGCAAGCTGATGTGTGTGAACATTATCATTCATAATTGGTGACTCTAATGCATACTTGAAGGAAGAATTTGCAACATACTCTATGCTTCCCAGCACTTACCAGCAGAAAAAAAGCTTGACTTATGGGAATTGATGAATCTGTCTGGGATTGACCTTGCTGTTAAATTCACTCCATAGATGCTGCAATATCAAAAGCCTGAGAAAGCATACAAAAAAGGTGACACTCACTTAAGCACTGTCTTCCAAAAAAAGAGAAAATCCATCCATTTATCAGCAAAACTGATTTAATCTATTTTCAATTCATGCCCACGTGTCAACCGAATCTCTGTGGACAACTATCTGCTACTTTCCTTGCTATTTTATGTTAGGCTCTTTTCAAGATATGGATATCGCTAGCAGCGTAAGCAGAAAACATGAGGGCTGTTCACGGGCCCTGTGTGCGGTCGGACCGCACACAGCCTCGAAGCTCCGCCCACTTCGTCCCTACGTCAGCCTTCCGTCACCGCACACAGCGATCGCTGTGGCCGGTCGGGACTGGCCACAGCGAACCGTCCACCGCACGCAGCCGTGACGTCAGAGCCGCCTACCCATCCCCTACCCCCACGCCTGCTGGACGCACCGCACACACCGCACGCAGCAGTGTGCGGTGCCCGTGAACACCCCTCTGGTAAGCTTGAAATTTCATTGGGTACTTTTGCGACTTTTACGCATCATCATCCTCAATCGAAAATGAGCGAACACTTCTTGATTGTCGCATCTGCGGCAGGTAGCGATCCTGACCAACTGTATAATAAAACATATATGATCAAGAATCAAGAAGAATAGAATCAAGGTTGTTTGGGCTCTGGAAGAAGACGTCGAGGTCTATGTTGTAGCCCATTTCTTTTTTGAATCACGCGTTTTTCTATATCAGTTTGATTTCTCTTCGGTCAGTCTTGTCTGTCTGCCCGATGTTTGTCGTATCTTGACTTAAATTGGTTAGATGTTTTTGCCATCTTGGTGTGAGAGCTTAACAAATTCCATTTATTTATAACTCTTTGTGAGAAAAATCTTCCTCTCTTCAACGTCCGGTGGTGGGGCTTGTACAGTTTGAGGTAATCTCGCTCTGTTCGGTTTCTAACGTTAAATAATTGGGTGAGGTCACACTCGTGGAGCTGATGGAGGATTTTGTGGGTCTCAAGTAAGTCTCCCCGTTCTCTTCTCTCTTCTAGGGTGGTAAGCTTAAGCTGTCTCAGCCGCTCTGGATAATTTAACCCTTGCAGTCCCACAACTCTTCTTGTAGCTGCTCTTTGAACTGTTTCAATCTTCTTGATATTATATTTCTTATATGGAGACCACACTTGGGGACAGAATTCAATGTGAGGGCGAACAAATGTTTTGTATGTGAGATTAAACATTGCCGGCCTCAGCTTTTCAAAGGTTCTCCTTACCATGCCCCAACTGGCATATGCTCGTTGGGTGCATTTGTTGATATGTTTGTTGAACTCGAGCGAGGAGTCAACAATAACACCCAGGTCTCTTTGTTCGTTGGTGTTCTCCAGCTTAGTACCACCGAGCATGTAGACTGGTCTGTCGGACATCATTTGTTTGGTGCCGATTCGAAGGGTCTGGCACTTAGAAGCATTGCAGCATAGTTTCCATTGACGAGACCAGTGCTCAATCTCTTGGAGATCCCCTTGTAAGCGCTCCACATCTTCATGTGACTTGATGTGTCGGTAGATTTTACTATCATCAGCAAAAATTTGCACCTGGCTAACTATTTGATCCGGCATGTCATTAATAAACAGAAGGAACAGTGTGGGACCGATCACTGAGCCCTGTGGGACGCCACTTGCTACCTTTGCCCAGCTTGAGTGGGCTCCGTTGACTACAACTCTCTGTTTCCTATCGTAGAGGAAGTCTTCAAGCCAGTTAAGCAGCTGACCGCCAATCCCTGATCGGTATAATTTATGACAAAGTCTTGCATGTGGTACGGTGTCAAAAGCTTTTGCAAAGTCTAGATAGACAATGTCTGTAGGTACCTTTTCATCAAGGCTGCGGCTGCAGTCTTCCAAAGTGGAGAGGAGGTTTGTTAAACACGACCTTCCGGAAACAAATCCGTGTTGGCGTGGGTTCAAAATGTCGTTCTGCAAAATATGACTCATTATTTGTTCATTGACGATTCTTTCCATCACTTTACTGCATATGCAGGTTAAACTAATTGGGCGGTAGTTTTGGGCTTCAGTTCTTGATCCCTTCTTATGGACTGCTGTGACGTATGCCATTTTCCATAGACGAGGGACATGTCCAGTGTCCATCGAGTTTTTGAATATGATCCTCAAAGGTACTGCTACATTTTCTGCGAGTTCAGCTAGGAGACGTGGGTGAAGATCATCTGGCCCTGGTGACTTGTAGGACTTAAGCTCTT